GCCCCATCAGCCTCCTGGGCCTCAGGCTCCTCCAAACATCCCTGGGGGTTCGGTTGAACCAGACCACCCTGTCCCAGGGCCCTGGGGTGGGCAGGCCTGAGGCTGATGGATGTCCCTGCTTGGTCCCTGCCTCGTCTCCGCGGTGAAGTTGCTGGACAGCGACCAGGAGCTCTACCGAAACTTCCCCCTCACCATCTCTGAGCGGTGGCAGCAGGAGGTGGCAGAGACCGTCTTCGACACCATCAATGCTGAGACAGACCGGCTGGAGGCCCGCAAGAAAACCAAAAACAAGCAGCTGGGCCACGAGGAAGGTGAGGGTCGCCAGCTGCCGTGGGAGAAACAGACCCAGCCAGGGTCACAGCTAGAGAGCAGCCGAACCAGGATTCAGACCCAGGCAGGGCGAGTGAGGCGGGCCTGGCTGAGCCTCCCTCTCTCGCTCTCTTGCGTCAGACTATGCCCTGGGCAAGGACTGCATCATGCATGGCTACATGTCCAAGATGGGCAACCCCTTCCTGACCCAGTGGCAGCGGCGGTACTTCTACCTGTTCCCCAACCGGCTGGAGTGGCGGGGCGAGGGCGAGGCCCCGGTAAGAAGCGGGCTAGGGCTGGGAGCCCCTGGGGTCGGTGGCTGGCAGGGCCTGTCCTGCGCCCTCACTGCCCCCTCCCCGCCTTGCAGCAGAGCCTGCTGACCATGGAGGAGATCCAGTCGGTGGAGGAGACGCAGATCAAGGAACGGAAGTGCCTCCTTCTCAAGATCCGAGGCGGCAAGCAGTTCGTCCTGCAGTGCGACGTGAGTGGGGACCTGGGGGACCCAGCGGGGAGGGGAAGGGGCAGAGTGGCCTTGGGGCACCCAGGCCCCGCCTGACAGACCCCGGTGGGTGTGCAGAGCGACCCCGAGCTGGTGCAGTGGAAGAAGGAGCTGCGTGACGCCTACCGTGAGGCCCAGCAGCTGGTGCAGCGGGTGCCCAAGATGAAGAACAAGCCACGCTCACCCGTTGTGGAGCTGAGCAAGGTGCCACTGGTGCAGCGCGGCAGCGCCAATGGCCTCTGACCTGCGACCGCCACCCGGCCGCCCTCCTGCCCGCCTTTTATAAACCTCTAATTTATTTTGTTGAATTTTTATTATTTGTTTTCCCGCCAAGCGGAAAAGGTTTTATTTTGTAATTATTGTGATTTCCTGTGGCCCCAGCCTGGCCCAGCCCCCAGGGAGGGGCCTGCTTGCCTTGGCTCCTGCTGCCACCCACCCCGCCACTGTCCAGCCACCCTCAGTTCTGACCCCCAGGGGTCACCCACTCCCAGTGTCTTCTTGTGCAGGGAGAGCAGCAGCCCCCGGCAGCTCCCCGCCCCTTCCCCAGGGATGGTGCCACGCGGTGTTGTGCCACCTCCAGCTCTGTGGGGTACGCTCTGTGCCCGCAGAACCTGGGTGGCCCAGCATCCCTCACCCCAGGGGAGGCTGCAGCACAGGGATACTACTTGAATTTTTCCCACCGCAGCCCCTCCTGCAACAGGGACACAGCCCTACACTGACCTGCCCCTTCAGCCAGTTGGTGGACAAGGAGGCCCATTGTCTCCCTGACCCCAGGGCCTCCCACGTGACTTGGGCTCTTGCACCCTTTCCCAGGAAGAGCCCCCACGACACTGGCTGCCTCCATTCCCACCTTCCCTGGACACTGGGGCTCAGCCAGGAGGGTGGCATTGGCAGTGGCTGCTGCTGCCCTCACCATAGCCCCCTCGTTGTCTCACCCCCAGCGCCCAGGCTCAGGGACCACAGAAAGGCACCTGCGGGTTGTGCTACTCTGGCCTAGCCTGGCCCCGTGCCCCCTTTCCCCGGGCCAGGCAAAGCTCTTCTGCCCAGGACCACAGGGGGCCAGCCTGGGCTGGCTGGGCAGCACAGTGAGAGGGGGCCAGGTAGGGCCAGCCCTCCCCACCCCGGGCTGCTCAGTGTGCCCCACCGGCTATCCAGCCCCATGGCCCCACGGCCCATTAGTGCCACTGCCCCAGGGCGCCACCTCGCCCGCAGCATGCCCCCTCGTGCCAGTCTCGCTGCCGTGTGTGGTGTCGCGCCCTCTCCCCCCGGGGCTGGGTTGGCAGGCCCTCCCCTCCCGTCTACTCACTCCCCGGGGCGTTTCTTTGCCGATTTTTGAATGTGATTTTAAAGAGTGGAAAATGATACTATGCGTTTTTATAAAAAATGGTGCCTGACTCCTTGGCTGTCAGACTCTTTCGTGGACAATGATCATTTTCTGCCTCCATGGGTCTGGGGCCTGAGGGGAGAGGGTCTTGGTGGCGCTAGATCCCTTCCACCTCTATGGCAGGTGTCCAGAGCCAGCCTGTCCAGGCCCAGGCATTCTTAGGGGAGCAGAGGGGTCTCCTGCCCACTGCCCAGGGAAGCAGGAAGAGGTGCTTGCAGTATGGGCTCGGTGTCACATTTGGACTGACTGAGCTCGGCCCGCCAGGGCCCAAGCTGAGGACACCCCTGTGGACAGATGAACATCTCTGCCCTCGGGGCCACACTGCAGCCTCTGCACCTTTGCCTTCTCTGGCTTTAGCTTTCCCTCTGGTCTTGCTCTGCAGCCCCCAGTAGAGGTCCCTGAAGCCTGAAGGACCCCCCCAGCACCAGGCCTTAGGTACCTAGAGGCTGTTCAACATCCTGCCTGTGTCCCTGCCCTACAGGCCCTCATGGGTGATGTCCGTTGCTGCCCACTCCAGGCAGGGCTCTGAGGGCCCCATGGAGTCTCAGGAAATGGACTTTGAACTGGGCCTCCAGCATTGGGGTGGAGAAAGTGAGCATTCTATTGTAGGGAAGGGCCTAGCAGTTGAGAGTGGCTCAGGTTGGCAGGAGCACTGTAGGAAGGAGCCAGGCCTGGGAGGCCCTGAATGCCAGGCTAAACCCAGCCCAGAGCCCAGGGGCACTTAGTGATTGCAGGACAAAGATGGGAGTGGACGTGGAGTCTGAACTTGGATTGGCCTTTGGGGAGTCTTTGGAGGCTCTGGACAGGGACTGGGTGGTGAGAGCTGCCAGTAGAACAAGTTAGATTACCATGTGCAGGATGTGTGAAGATCAGAGCCCGGCAGGAAAAGGCAGAACTTGGGGATGAGAGAGGCACACCAGGAGGTCTGTGGTACTGTTCAGAGTCACAACAGCCAGGGAGCAGAGCTGGCCTGAAGGGAAGAGGGCGAGTGTGGCCAGATCTGGTTTAGGACATGCTGATGGATTGCATGGGACATAGGGTACAGAGGTGTCCCAGAAGGAGCTGAAATCTGGTCCTGAAGATGTCACCAGGATGACACTGGGAACAGACAGGCCTTCAGCTGGGAGAAACCTGACTTGGGAGTCAGGGAGGGAGAAAAGGGGCCCTGGGAAAGGGTTGAGAAGACAATTAGGAATCAAGAGCCAGTGGGGAGTTACTGCAGAATCAGGAGAGGCTGGGCCTGAGACAGTCCTGTTACATTTGGGGTGAAGAGGGCTTGGGGAAGAGGGTAGCCCCTTTTAGGAAGGTGGAGGCTAGAGAGGGCTAAAGCTAGTAGTAGCCAGCAGGGCCTGATTTTAGGGTTCTGGACATTCAGAGGCCTTTGAGGTGCCACAGACCAAAGGACATTACAAATAAGCTGACTACCCCACAGGTCAGGGTAGCAAAGTGATCCCAGATAGCACAGGAGCCACCTGGTCACAATGAGGGGGCAGGGTGAGAATGGCAGCCAGGGCCTCCTAGCCCAGAGACTCAGCTCAAACATCTAGGTCAAACCATCTGGTCAGCGTACTAATAGGGAGACTGAGACCGAGGGTCAGCCTTGGCCCAGCCTGGATGCTGCCTCACCATCCAAAACTAGGACCAGACCCCAGGCTAAGGCTAGGGTAACCACACCAGAGCTCAGCCAACTGAGGCCTGCACCCTGGTTCCGGTGTGGGTGGAGGGGCTGGCCCTGATTTCGAAACTCTCCTTCCTCTCCTGACACTGGAAACAAAGTGCAGCCTCTGCAAAAGGGATGCACGCGGTGGGTGAAAACAGCCACTCAGTGAACAGCCCTCCACCAGGAAGGTCCAAAGCTAGCCAGGCCTGCTCCCCCACTTCTCCGTAGTACTCCCACTCCTGACTCCAGTGCCCTATGGGGCGACCGCCCCCACGCCCCTAACCGCGCATGGCTGAGTCCAGCCCACAGTTGGCCACTAGCACACATTGGCCCAGGTCCCTGAGGAAGGTGCTCCATGCTAAGCTGGCCAGCATTTACAGGATTCTCGGAGGTGATGGGGAGGCAAGACAGCACTCCCCACCCGACCCGCACACACAGGCAAGGTCGATAACCCGCGGAGCCTGAGGTAAGAAGACTGGGCATGGGCGGAGCTGCCGAGAAAACCAGGGTAACCTAGGGGCAGCAGGACCGCGTCCTGCTGCACACGCACGCGCACACGTCCCGGGGGACCTCGGCCCCGCCCGCCCTTCGCCTAGTAGCCCTGTCCGTGGACTCCTTCCTTCCCCTTCCGGACCCGCAAGGAGCCTGCGATGGGCCTGGGGTCCCCCTGCAGGACTCTGGCGGAGCTGCAGCCAGGCCCCGCCCTCCGGACCGCCTCCACAGACTCTTCCCGGCTGAGACTCGGGCGGAGACCCAGGTCCTGGCTTCTACCCGGGCGTGTGTGGTTGCCAGGGTGGCTGGGCAGCGGCCCCCGCCCGCCCCTGGCGCGCAGGGATCTGCTGCGGTTTCCACGGCTGCGGGAATCGAGGGGACGCGCGGCCCGACGCCCCGCCCCGCCCCGGCGCAGCCCCGCCCGTCGGGCCCGCCCTCCCTGTCGCTTGTGCCACCGCCTCCGCCTCCG